ATTATTATTGTTATAAAAAAAAATAATAATAATTAAAAAAAAGAAAGTAAACGAAGTTTGTTTGTAAAACAAACTGAATGATATTTTAATAAATGTGAAAAACCCGGCTGTTTAACTCCACGTAGGTACCTATACCTATATGTTTGAAATGATAATCATTTATTAATCCCGAAAAGTTTAAAAGGGCAAAAACAAATATGGTACTCATTTACTAAACCCGCAACGGTTTTCCGCCCTAAAATCCTGCAACGTTCCGATGAATTATAAATTTAAAAAAAAAAAAGGTTTTTTTTTAAAGAGCGATATGCATCGAGTTTAGTTAGTTACATTTCAGTTATATTTTATTAAATACAGTATTACAATAATTAATTATAATAACTCGCGCGAAGAATAAATACTACTAAATGCGTTCTCATACAATGCAATTTGTATAATATACATTGACATTTACGCATCGAGATTCTGAGTGTTTAGCCAAAATGTTTTTTAATTTTGAAACTTTTATTCAGACATATTTTTTTCTTGGAAAATGCATCTTCGGTCAGTTACAATTTTCCGAAACATTCACATAGTATCTTAATAGACACAAAGTTTTCGATCACCCAGTGGCACTATATTTGAAAAAAATATTTATGATTTCCAACCATTTCTCTAAAAATGTAAAGAAAACTGACAACAAAATATGTTAATATCTCTATGTTAATTTTTTGATTTTCGGATTACCTTGGCTTACAAGGGAAATATAAGACTAACAATATTACTTTCCCAGTTAACCGAGTTCCGCTCAGAATAGGTTTTTAATTAATAATTCATCGTTCGAAACATGATTATATTCTATATCCTATACTTTATCAACACTCACCCCAAAACACTACAGACTTATTTACTAACACAATCCTTTGTATGAACCATAGTAATAACGTCTGCACCCGTAAAGATACTGGTATAAGTTGTTATTGGCATTTTTGTTTTTTCTTCCATGATAATCCTATTTATATTATAAATGCGAAAGGTTGTTTTGATGTATGGATGCAAGTTTCCTACCACTTCTCGCCCAGGCTACTGAACAGATTAAGGTGAAATTTGACATTAATGTGATTCTAGTTCAGACATAATACTTATAGGGTACTTTCCTACACGTATTAAACCCATTTAGGGGGTCTAACACAGGATTATTAGTATTTTAATGAAATATTTTTGTTGATTTATAAGTACCTTGATGATAAGAGCTAAATGGAAAAAAAAAATACATAATAAGTTAAAATAAATTTCTTTTAGCACGGAACAACTAGTAACAAAATAAATGATTTTATATTGATTTTAATTCCTAATCACTACGCAATAACATCAATAAATTGTTTTAATATCTGTGATTACACTTTACTTATTGTAATTTGTCTTTTATTTTTTAGAATGTAATATTGAACGAAAATATATTGATAAAATAAAAGGCTCCAATAAGTGTTTTTATCGGAACGAGGCCTTAAATGTAAAAAAAAAAATAATGGAGTGATATATCTATATATTATATTTAATATGTATGCTTCTATGGGTATAATAATGCCGATTAATATTTTATTAATTCGATTGATAAATGGTTTCACTTATGAATAATTAAATATTGGGGAGTTTTTTATTTTTTTTTTTTTCTAACTAAAATATTCAAACATATAGTTTGTGATTCGCAACAATTTTTTTTAAGTTAGGTTAGGTTATGTTAACTTGACGCGTTTATTATCGCGCATCTGTAATGAAAATTGATTATCATATTTTATTTTCTATTTCTTTACTTCGTTTATGTTTGTTCACTGATTAAACGACCTATGCATACTATATATTATTATTTTTAATTGAAAATGTTATCGAGATGTACTTTGGTGGAAAAAAAAATTCGATTGTTATCAACACTGGTTAATTAATTATACGCTACGAAACTCGGCGGTGGTTAAACGCAATATTGCAGTACAGTCTTTGAGGGGGCAAATTAAAATTAGTAATTATTATTCCTGTCTTCCGGCGTGGTTATTAATTGTGTAATTAACTGCTATTTAAACAACATAATTATTAATGTCATGATTTGAAAATACATATTCACCCCTATATTTTTTTTTTCTTTTATAACTTTCTCTACTTTATAAACAATACACATCAATTATACTACTGATCAGTATATATTAAAGAATATTATAGTAATAGGTATATTTATTATCTCGAATTTGTATTCGGTAATAATAGAAATTAGTACTAGTGCGATTGATCATACTATTAAAGATATTTGCACTGGGAGCTGTTTTTGAAAGAAAAAAAATTACTGAACCTTCTAAAACTCGATAACCACAATCCCCAACGTATAGTAAAACGCGAGATTTCCATAACCAAAACTTAATAATATTCGCTTATTTCAAATTAATATTTTACAAAATGTACCTCTAGACTGGGTTCTAGAGATAAATTGTACTATTTTGCATACATATCTCGTCTCATATTCTAGTCGCATGTATAATTAATTTCACTGTTAAAAACCAATGAGTATAAGTGTTTCTTCCGATGCAAAGTTCACTTATTTCATATTATAAGCTATACTCAGTGGCAATGGCGGGCGCAGAGGGGTGGTTAGGGATTATAACCCCCACTGGCTTGTAATAAAAAAAAATATGAGTAATTTTATGTCAACATATATTTATTTTAGTCAAGTTACGAGGAAAAATTTGAACAATTTATTAGAAATTGGCTTTTTTGGGAGATCCGGCTTTTAAATTACTAATTTCCGTAGTCAGTTTAGGTAGAGAAGTCGAATTTATGATTTATTCATGATTCTTATTTGCCACATTCCCTTCCATTGATAATTCCTGAGTACGCCACTGCTCAGTTGGTACATTCAGGTTGGGCAGTATTTTCGATGCAAGTAACCTAGACACATATCTTAGATACAAATAACAATTATGTTATATCTGGCATCGCGGTACAGTTATGAAAAGTATTGAGTATCTTGTATAACTCTTATACTAAAATCAATTGATCTAATATCGAGTATAAAGGTACTCATTTCGAAATATCTTATCAATAGATGTCTTAAGATGAAGGGAATAACTGAGTTATAGTTCCCCTGGCTTTTTGAAAAATATATTAAATAAAAGTATGTATGTATAATAAATAAAAATAAAAGTGATTTCAGAACATTAATTTTAATGTATTGAGTATCTTGTATATTATATTATAACATTATTGTCTAGTATCTCGTATCAAGATACTCATTTTGATGTATCTTTCCTGTCTCTGGCTTTGCTTAACCCATTATACAGTTAAAAAACACTCTTTATGATTCCAAATCGTCTCACTTAATTCAATTCGCTTTTCAAAGCTATCCCCGTCCCAGAGTCTAACAACTGACAGTAACACTATTGTATGACACATTAATGTTATAAACCTGCGTGTTAAAAAATACTCGTTTTGTTTATAATTTTGTAACAGTCGTATAAAACGTTTAAATCTGTTCGTTTAGGACGTTATTGACGAATATCAGGAAAGATCGAAACGCCGAGGATCGGACTACAAAGAGATCGACGCGAAATGTCTACGCTGGCGACCTCGATCAGCTCCCGCACCGGCCGGGCCACCGTAAAAATATGTTGATCATATTTTTCACAGTGAGTACATTATTTTAATTTTTAATAATAGTAAGAGTGCTCCGTATACGTAATTTTATATTTGATCGAATATAGGTTCAAAATCGAAGACAAAGTGTATAGGCTTACCCAGAATATGAATTATACAATTATACCCGGACAATTCGGAACCGTTGGTATACGCTTTTCCGAAAAAAAAGTATAAAAAATCTATTGATTTTAAGTTTATTATTTTTTTCAGAGTTACAAAATATGAAATTCCCGTTAAAATCTAATTATTATAAATAATAAAAAAAAAAAAAGCATTAGATAACGTCACGGATCTAAACGCATTTCGTGATATTAATTCGCGTTTTGTATTCCCTAGAATTTTTTTTTTTTTTAAAAAAATGTTTTACAAAAACATAAACGCGTGTGTTAGTTTCGAAAATTAAAAAACCCATGGGATTTTCTATAGTTCAATAACTTCGACATTTTAGTTTTCATTGACAATTTTCAACCGCTCAAAACGTAAATTGTCATTTTATATGTAACTGTAATTTGCAAAACAGTCGTCGAACAGAGTATAAGACTTGAATTTTTTGATTTTATATGCACCTCATCAGCGTTGTTCGTTTTCTAGATAAAAATATTTATCTCGTTTATCTTATATCGATAAATAGAACAGTTATCTGATTTTCTAGATAGTTTATTTTACTTTTGATCTTGCACAACAATGGTACTTTAATACACATGCGTTTAGTTTTATGGTTATTCGCGTTCGGAAATAGTTCAACGACGTGATGACAACGGATCATATTGGAGCTGGTTGTTTTGTTTTGTCGCACTTAACGTTCCTATGTCCCTATGTGCATTAACATTTGGCATCTATAGTACAAAGTTATTCAACAAACTTATTTCGGTTGTATACGTCTTTAAATTCAGGGCATTTTTTGGCTTGACGTTAAATAGTTCAAGCGCGCGTTTAATTTTTGCCAATTATTTGAAATACAAGTTTTTCTCCCAACACTCGCGAACGTGCCAAGTATTTACGAATAAATCTCCCGAACGTATATTATAATACACGTTGCTGTACATATACGATGAAATTATACAGATATTCAGTATTGATTTTTGTCTAGATGAAATTATCTAAACTGATAGATATGTTTAATCGTGGTTAGATTAATTTTTTAAATCACAAACTATGTAACATGTTACTTATTAGAATAGATAGGTAAAATATTTAGTTTACATTAAAACGGTTTAATAAGTTAATTTGTTAAATGGCGTGGTTAGATTTATGCGAAATCCAGATGTGTACCAAATCTAGTACACTTTTACTACGTTCAGCACTCTGCTTTAAGATATGTAATAAAACAATATTATATTCTATCTCCGTCTAGATAATCGTTCTCTCTAAATAATTGTCTCTTGTGTTTTTCAATAAATATTTTAAAATTTATCTTTTTAAAACACCGAGTACAGTCTGTTTGAATTGACTTTCTTATATAAAGGTACTCGATTTCACATTCACCTCCCCTACACGCGAACAACGGTAAACATATCATTATCCTTTTGAATTTTCCGTAAAAAAGTCTCTCCAATATCGTACCGTCGGACTACTCTCGTATAACTTTTTCGAATATAATATCCTAAAACGTCGTCTTATTAAAAAACGGCGAATAATAATAATAATATTATAAATATATTATTATCTCGTCGTTATTCGGCGAAAACAGCGAACAATAATAATTGTTGTGCGCGAATCGATTTTTCAAAACTTATGATAATAGTTTTCGTACGGTATTGTTATTATGTTAAACGCGGACGGCGGAGAGTGGGAGAGAGAGAGAGAGAGAGAGAGAGAGAGAGAGAGTGAGAGAGAGAAAGAGATAGTGAGAGAGTTGAGTAGTCGTAGTTGACTGGCCGATCGTCCTCGATTCGGGGCGGCGGGTCAGTGTGCGGAGGAGGGGGGGAGGAGAGAGAGATGGTCGTGAGCGGAGATAAATGTAGAAAATTGTTTCCGAGGACGCATAATAATATATACACACGCAAACGTAATACTATTTACCTCGTACAAAAATAATATGCGCGTGGGTAGTTTTTATATTGACCGTTTAAAATGGTTTACTATACGAGAGGGCGAACGGATGACGCAGCGCAAACGATCGTTCGGTTTACCTGATTTGAATATTCGCGTCCGACTATACTCTATTACGGTTGGGACCATTACACCGGCGTATACGGAATCCGTTGAGTGTTGTATTTTTTTTTAAAAAAAAAAAAAAAAACGTTATTTATATTATCTTCTTTTCGTCGCCGAAAGTATAATAATAATAATATATCTATAACATTGCTGATTTGACATTGTTGTCCACGGGAAATTTGGCAAAGTTTGAATTATAATATTATGCTTAGTAAGATAGGTACTGAATTTAGTCGGTATAACTACAATTATGCAATCATTGCCAACGAAATTAGATTTTGCGCGAAACTCCGCAGTTAATCGTGTGCATTTTTTTTTTTATTTTCGATTCCGAGCGTGACCGAGCTATTGATTTTACAATGCGGTTTATTTATATTATTTTTTTCTAGTCTGTGGACACGTTTTTTCCTAGTAAACTCACTCTGATTTTTACGTGTAGCAACTTTCCTGTAACCTCGAATTGTCTAGATGGTATTTTAAAGAGGTCGTTTTTTTTTTTGATTTTCGACGCCATTTTTTAAATAAAAGCACTTAGGTGGAAAAAAACGTAGGAAAACTTACAATTTCAAGATTTCATTGTTTTATAAAAACACGGACGGCGTTTTCTACCAGAAAAAATGATTTAATCGAAAAATCACAAGACTCCTCTTTTTGATTTACTTTCTTGCGGATTATCGCTAAGACTTTAGAGCTATTTTTGAACTTTTAAAGAATTTTAATTTTTGGTAGTTTTTTTGCTGTAATTCGGTTATAAATAAACACAAAGACTTGACACTTGGTAATAATACCTATATTGGGCTTACCTAGACGTGGTAAAATTTCCAAAATCATCAGACGACTTTTTTGTTTTTTTAATTAATGTTTTAAAATCAAATTTAAACGAAAATCGCAAAAAAAAAATACGTATTACCGTATTCAAATTGTGTATTACCGAACCACGCTCGGAATCGTCTTTCGTCAAGCAATGGCTTATCGTTGCTTACAGATATAGATAAAGTAACTTTATGTATCCTACCTTCCCAACTTCTCGCCTATAACAGTGGCCGCTGCCATCCCCAATATCAGCTCTTTTTCTTTTTTTGTTAATTTTAAATTAAAAATCATTTAAGGAAGAAAGTGGGAAAAGCAGAGTTATAAATTTAATAACGGCGCAAATAAAATATTTCTACATCTATTATATGGAATCGTGTTCTTGAGGTTATTTTGTAAAATGCCTAATTGGGGACAGTATAATTAATCAAATATATTTTATTTTTATTTTTTGGGAAGGGGGACCAGGAATTTCGATCACTGCCATTGAGGAGGGGGGCTGAGGCTCATATTTACCCTCCCTCCGGGTACGCCAATATAAACACACTTATCGCGCCGGCTACACTTTTTCAAAGTTACGAAAGCTGTATTATTCGCTTATTATAATATATAGGTACATAATATTATAGCCGACAGGGTCGAAGGAACAGTCTCTGGCGGTGGACCGGGAAACAACAGTGTACGGGAAGGCGGGAAAAATAATCGCGATTTGAAATTTCCTATAGGTATACGATGTCGTCCGAAAATCTAGCCTCCGGCGCGCAACTTCGACGACTACTCTGTGATATTATATTTTGTAATTATTGTCGCGACGGCGTTATTATCGTCTATATTCCACGTGCATATAGTTTTACGGTCCCTCGTGTGCGCGTACCAAAGCGATTCCCCACGGGTAGTCCGAATCTCATTCCGTATGTATACTTATCGGTGAAAACACACACGCTATACTATATTATTATAATGCGCGTTATTTTCGACTATCCATTTTGGGTAGGGTTCCCCTGGAGAGCCGCATAAATTTGTGCGCCAACATCATACCGTGTAATACGTAATATATATGTGTATAGTTACGTGCGGTTTATTTTGCGCGTTTCATCTCAAAACACGTGCAGTACTTGCCGCGGATCGACTTGTTGTAGTTGATTGTGTGAATATCGCTCGTCTTTTTATATTCTGAACGCAGCGAAGAACGCGTATTGGTTTTATGCTGCGCGTGTAGGTAATTGTAGATTCTGAGCGTAGCGAATAATGTATCGGTTTTACAAAGGTGTTTATTTTTACTCTTTTACGCTGTGTACAAAATTTCTACCAGAAATCTTGCTCCGAAGTGTTGAGTTCAGTACTTTTTCTGAAAAATAATTTTCCCGGCGTGGTACTTTAGGAGGGTCATTTTTCGATTTCCCCGAGAGTTTTCCCGATAAACGGGAAAACGTGGCAAAAACCGGGGAAAAAGATACAATATTAAATAAATATTATTAAAGAAAATATACAATGCACATGTAACTATTTAACCATAATGTAATATATTATACATTGTTGACAAAGTAACACTATTTAGTAAACTCCGCTCAGAATCGATTTTCGTTAGCAATGGTTAATCGTTGCGTACAGATACACATTCGATTTTCTCTTTACCTTTCTAACTTCTCACCTAAAACAGTGGCCCAACCACGTGCCAAGTGTTTCCGTCATTTTTATTATTGTTATTCTGCGAACAACTTTTCTACCAGAAATCTTGTTCCGATAAAAAAAAAAAAAACAGCAAGGGAGGTTTTGTATAGCATTTTTGACCTAGTTGATGTGTTGAGAAAGTCACGTATTTTTTTCCTCGTAGTTTTCTTATTAACTGACGAGAAAACTGGAAAGTTTTCGGAATTTTATTTTTGTAATTCCGTTAAAAATAATGATTGAAATCTGAAATTTACGCAGAATACTATATTTGTTATTTTTAGATGTGGTGAAATATTTGAAACATTGTTAAGCTTGTGACATTTTCTCGTTTTTTTTTTTATTTTTAGTTCTTCATTTGATTTTATGTTGATAAAATATTGTTTTCACCTATATAAAATGTTTGAGAACGAAGCTTATTTAAAGTTGTACTTATAGTGGCCACAGAAGAAAAGTTAAGCGTAATGTAGTAGGTTTGGATTTATGAGCCTTTTAAAGAAAGGTATCACGGGAGAACTACGTTTTGATTTGCACAATACACAAGAATGGAGGGAGTAATCAAGAGCTATAAACTAATTGTTTGAATGACTGGACATTGCGAACGAGACAAAAAACATTAACCTAGAATGGGCAGGTAGGGAAAACAAAAATCCACGATTATAAAGACCGTGGTTATGGGTTTCGGTTAGGCCAAAGCTTCGTCGGGAAGTCTGTATTGAGCAGGACTTTTCAAGACGTGTCTTATTATGAGTAGAACGAGAAAATTCGGACTGCAAGCAAGTAGCAGTAAATGGAGATGACTGAAAGAGACTCGTCTGTTCGAGCGGATGGTCTTAACGGCCATGGGAAAAAAAAAAAAAAAAAAAATCGGCGAATCGTGTTTTCTGCTCCGGAAAACCGCTTTCACGCTGCAAACGACACCGCGCACGCGGACGGCCCTTATTGTCGCGCGATTAACACAATATTCTTTTACAAACATACTTTTCCCCGCGGTCGCGTTTCCGGCCCGGAAATTCATAACCGCGGGCTCGCGTGTATATTTATATATTGTCGTATCGTATATACTTTGTAATATTTGACAATCGGCAGAGCGGAAACTCCACCGAGAGGGTCGGGAGAGACGCGTCCGAACGTCTCGTGCGTCCTCGTCCGGCCGTTACGTGAAACGTTTTAAACGACCGATTTAAGTACGCTCGAGTCACTAGTGTCGTAATGAAATGACAATGTTTTTGGCCGCTCGTTCTCCCGCGTGTCGCCTGGATCGTAAAATATTGTCTAACATTCAAAACGACCGCGTTCGTCTCTCACGGTCTCGGCGGTACTCTATTATTATTTTTATTTGTTTCGTTTAAATAACGCGCGCACGAGACGAACGCCTTTTCCCCGTCGTTAAAATCTCACGATTATTCCTCTTGCAAGATATATGTATAAATAATACTTTTAGGACGGAACAAAAGGGACGTTTCTCTCTTGCCGTCCCGGGAACTTTTCTTTTTTTTTTCTCTGGATACGCCGCGTAGAGCGCGAGTAAGCTATTATATTATAGTTTTACAAAGATGGTGTTCGGTTTTTTTTTTTTCACGAAAACTACTTTTTCGGTTAGTAAAAACGCTCCCAAACTTTCACGCCGCATAATGTGGATACCCATCATAAAAGATGCGAATTTTTAGCCAGGTGGTATACTTTGTACAAAACGTTTTTCTTTTACAGAAAAAAAAAAAATAATAATAAACGAAATGACGATACGGGTCTGGACAAAATCTGTAGCGAGCAGTGATCTGATTTTGCGGATTTTAGCCTGATTTTTATGATCTCTATGCGAGGTGCGCCACGAAGATATACCCATTGTTGTAATATTGCCGAAAATAATTAAGAAAGTTCGAATTCTGTTTATCTTTTTTTTTTATGTTCCTCACAGGAATACAGACTACAAATATATGCGGTCTAAATATTTTAATTAAAAGATACAAAAAAAAACTTTAATCTTTTTAAAACTTCACTCTACAGAATCGTTTTTGTTTGCGATGGTTTCAACGTTTTTTTCGGTATAGATTTATACTCTCTTCCAGATTTCCCACAGAAAACAGCTGTCTGTCAGTGTACGGTTGTTTTTTTTTTTTTTTTTTTTTTAATATTCCTGTTTCATAAAGTATTTTACCCCTCTCGGGAATGCTCTCGCGATACGCCGCTGCAGTTTTATCCTCGATTTTCCGCGCGCGTCATATTATTAAAATGTCAGCGGGAGTCCTGCAACAGCAGCACACTCTTTACACAAAACGTTGTCTTTTTCTTAACCGAACTCCCTGTGCGTGCCGTTACCGGAGAAATATTACCGCGTTCGTGTATAGCCGCGTATACAATTTCTTTCATCCGCAAATCTTCTTTGATTAAAGAAAGACACTCGTGGCTGGCATTTGATTAGCTCGTCTACGAATGCGCGCGGGCAAAGGGGTTTACGATTGGACGACTGGCTCAAAAGAACGTCTCGGAAATACACCTGCGGATTAGGTTTTCCGCGGCGCGTATAAGCAGACGTTCCTCTTTAATTTTAATCATCCGCGTTACGGTTAGTTAGTTTGTGTTTTATACGAATCCTTTTATACCGAGCGCGATACGAAAAACAATTACATTCGTTTGACGGTGTAAACAGCCGGAGGATTGATCAAAAACAGTATGAAATACTATGTCGACTGCACACACACGGCTATGTGCCGAGGGAAATTCCGTTTCCTTTAATCCAATATTTTACACGGGTTAACTAATTCGGTATTATTATTATTATTATTACAATATGAAAACCGACATTTTCGAAATAATTCGCGTTTATAACGTACCTACGTGGGCACGTGGCATTGTAGTTTGCACGGATGTTATTGAGACCGCGCGCACAATAATCGTACAATAATCTTTTCACCGTATCGAATATACGCCGAGTAATTGGATACGATTGATTAATTAAATAATTTAAACTCTTCCGATTATACTGCGTTAGTGTTTACGTCCGTATAACAAACGACGTTACAATATACGGGGTGGTTTTTTTTTTTTTAATTCTTGCTATCATCCGATACAGCGACTGGTTGTAGGTAAAAATGTCCGATGAAATAATATTCGGCTTATGCACAGTAGCTATAGCTAAATAACTAACAACCAAACTGAAAGATAAAATCTTAGGTTTCCCGAATTATTTCCACATTCTCACCCAAATATTTGGCTATTAAATGAAAAAAATGTGGTTGGAGTCGGGGGGTAAGGTCGACCAGTGCAAAACAGATCGAAGAGAAAATATCGAACCACAAAAAAAAAAAAAAAATATGAACATTTTTTTAAAATGCATATCCTTAAATTTAATTAATATTCTATATAGTAGACCAGAAAATCTATATATATATATATATATATATATGTATACATTCTTTTTTTATTACGATTTAATTTTTAATTTTAATTATATACGATACGATTTTTACATTGATTTACCAAAATTAAGACGATTATTATACGTATTGTATTTTTTTACCTCCGGACATTTTTTTCTAGGACATTTTGATAGATCCCCAGTGATTATTTTATCTTCGGTAGGCCCGACTAAAGTCGATATTGATTTTGAAACCGGTATACCCATGACCGGCTTGAAGGTGGCGCAAGTTGTGCACGTGCACAGAGCTCCGCGCTTTTAGGGGCCCCGCGTCCCGATCCATTCCTCGTAACTTCGCATAATTATTTACAATGATATATAAATTAAAAATAACGGGCAAAGACAAATAACTGTAAACATTCACCTAGAAGTCAAAAAGGCGAAAAAGTCGAGGGGAAAGTCAAATCAGTAAACCGAAGACCCGCAAAATCGACTGCACCGGGGCCTCGGTATTTTCCGAGTCGTCCCCGGCGAGATCAGAATGCACACGGAAATCGTATTATCCATCCCGTTTTATTTCGCGCGACACGCATTAATAATGGTTTAATCTTACTCGACTAAGTGTCGGGTAAACAAGGGACGGGATGGTGGTTCTAAATGTTTGAAGGGTTCGCCGACATTGGTTTTCTCTGTCGCGCAACAAAGGCGGCATTCCGCATTTACACGATTGTGAATATCCGGTTGAGTTTTGGGCAAAAGGCGAACCGAACACCGTAAACTCAATACTGTTTACGATATAGGAATTCAATTACGGACACACTAGATCGAGTTATGCCATTTCGTCATGCGTTTTACTATTATAAATAATTGTTTTGCGAAGCAACAAAAGGTACGGATAAATTATTAACAATAACAATTTATTCAAAGAGCTTTTCGAGAGCTTGAAACCGTTTGGCAACAGTTTTTCAGATTACCGAAAAGAGATTTCGAGTGAAATTGTTTTGTTTTTTTTTCAATATTTATACACATGGCCCTACAGTGTTATCCGGATGCTAATAACTCTGTTATTATTCATTTTTTTTTTTCAGTCGGATTTTGTGTCCGGGGGGCCATAATTGCAGAGAAATATTTAATGTTTATTTACGTTCCTTAACCGCTGGAAAAAATAACTTTTTATTTGTTCACTTTTTAAAATATTCAAAATAGTAAGTTTTTAAAATATATTATTCCAAACATTTTAATATACCATGCTTATATATTTGATCAATAGTTTCTTAGATTTAACTTTTAGAAATTCGGTATGAAAACAATTAATTTTCGATAAAATAACACGTTACACGATAAGGAATTACAATCAGCACGGTAATTTCTTATATTCTATATTGAATATGTATACTGTTTTCACGCCTAATTTCCATACATTGAAGCCGCTATAACTAGGAAACTATTAATCAGATATGAATGTGTGATGCGTTCGTTTTTTTAGAATAATACCTATATGTATATTTTGAAAATTAAAAATAGTGAAAAATTAAAATAATTTTTTTTTCAGCCATTAAAGAATGAAAATAAAAAAATGAACTTTTAAACACAGTTATTAGCATTCGGATAATACTGTACAAGAACGTCCTGTATACGTTTACGGATCCGATTGACAAAATTGTACGTTTGTTCGGTACATCATAATAATACGTTATATCCATTTTTGATTTTTAAATAGCTTATAGAAATGACAATTTTCTACCATTGCCATTTTTAAACCTATCAAATGATATTCGAAAAGAAAATATCAACATTTTTTTTTTTTTTTTTTTTAATTGCAATAGTTTCAAATTGACTGGTATAATTCACGTAAACGATACATCCTGGATTAAAGTGTTATCAAAATGTGTAGACAAATTTACTTTTTTCGAATCGACGTTGAACGGAGAATCTGCCGTGCGATAATCAAAAGTTAATACTCGTGCAATGCGTATACGGGACAGAGTAGTTAAGCCGATCCCTATTAACAGGCGTGGCGGTTGTCATACTAATTGAAAGTAGTTTGTGGGTGGGCATTGTTTATCGATTTGATAAGACTGCAGATACATCTATAGAGTACTATCGTTATTGCTACCATACAGTGTTGATAAATGATAAAACTCTGAATAAAAAATAAAATAATAAGAGGGTTGGTTGAGCAGTAATAGTATATATATATTATTGGTTATGTTTTTTTTTTTTTTTTTTTTTTTTTATGGAGGTAGGAAGTAGTGATCATTTTTTTTTTTCATTAAATCGTAAAGAAACAATATGTACATAATAAATTAAATAAATTACATCCTCGATTTTCCATCTCCTTTAAGCTAGGCTTATGATGGAGATAGAGAGTGAAAAAGTTAAAAAAGAAATGAGAATTATTAAGTGTATACTTTTCCGCGTCTGCAAAAATCGACTCTTGTATCATCGGGGTAGGCGCAAAAATGTGTAAATAAATCTTGAAAAATTCCGTACAACGATAGGAAAAACAGTGTATAAGTACTTAATACAATTTATTTAAAATCCTCCGAGAAAGCCACCGTGTCGTGATAAAAATATCACCATGTATTATTTCGTCTTGTACTGGCGCGATAATTAATTTTTATCGACATTTGTATTATTTCATATAACCATAGTACATTATACTACGGCGTAGTCGATAATGTTCGTAAAACATCAAAATTAAAATTGTTTGTATTGCAATATCAGCGTTCTCGCTGGTGTGTTTATATCTATAGTTGCAGTTGATAAAACGGATTACGAATTGTTTTTTATATTGTATACGCGTACTTATAACTTATACAACGCACAAACAAACAAATCATTGTTTAAAGTAAATTCTATTCATTCTATTGCTGAGAACAGTCGAACCTGCAGTGTTGATAGTTATCTGCAAAAGTAAAACAATCGTTATTCCAAGACCTTTGGGGATTTTTTGTTTTTTTCCGATGGTCAACAATACGCTCACGAACAGTGACGAGCTATAGTCGAATTTAACTCCCATGAGCCCGAGTTATTTTCTGGTAAAAACCGATAAAATTTGGTTACAAAAATGATCGACGGGTGGTTGAAAGTTTAAACCTCCAAAAAGAAAATCTCTGATACTGCCGCAATGCACGTACAATACTTCATTCTCTGAGGGTTACGTAGTCAAGGGGGTATTCAAAGTCAAATAAAAACCGCTTCAATCCGCCTACAAAACAACCCTAATTCTCGAGTTTGAGTTCATTCGGTTCAGAAAGAGCCGCTACCGGTGTCCGTAAGTCAACTGCAAGTGATGCGCAATAGTCTCTGTTTTCGGAGAAAATTCCATAACACAAAAGGAAAATGATAGGGTCATCTGTTTCAAATGCAAAGGCAATTTTCGCTGTTTCTTTAGAAATGTCGAAAGCGGTTAGATTAGGTTAGGTTAGGTTAATATAACAACCGTGTTCATAAAAACGCGGACAGTTAAAAAATTCTATTTCACGCCGGGATGTCCATACGCCGAAATGTACTTCACGCCGAAACGGTCACGGATCCGGTTCCGATCGCGAGCGAAATAAAGCGCGTACAATGTTATCAATGTTATGGACCATAGGCAGTTTTGAATTTTTGAGCGGATCCGACCGTATCTCTCCCATAGTCGGGACGGACGTGTATACGGACAGATCGTATTTGAGCGATGAAAACGCGTACCATTAGGACGCGATTAATTATGTATACGTGTATCCGGAAAACACCGTTAAGTCGATCTGTTCGCCCGTATACACGCGCACGATATTACGAACACCCTAGGCCGGGCCGAAATTTACATAGAAAACTGATAACAACGGACCGAATTTCGCGTTTCGGTTCGTCGGGTCATGCACGGGTCAAAACGATCGGACGTCAATCAATCGCATCCGCACGCGTTCGGCGCGTTAGGGGCCGACCGCGTGGTAGGTACCCGCAGTATAATATACTCGAAACCGTCTTTGATTTGCGTTATTTGTTTGTTTTATTTTCTACCTATACTCGTTTCTTCGAATTCGCCATTTTTTATTTTATTTTTTTTTTTTTTATCCGGGGAATACGTAACACCGGCGAAAACGATACAATACAGTTTTCGACGGACGTACTATGGTGTGCATACGAATAACATACAGGACGATCAATCATCGATAAGACACTAGTTATCTCAGAGAGAGAATTTTCTCGGAATTCGTTTGTTTTTTTTTTTTTTTTTTTGACAATGAAACAAAGCGGTTCTAAAACGTGTTACGTTACCGTTATGTTTCGTCACGCTTGTTTTTACGGGCGCTACCGCTGTATGCACTTTTGATTTTCGAACAGCAACCCCGGCTATTGTATTCGAAAATTTCATACGTGTACGGATATTTAGTTTAAAAAAACGTTTAATTCCCGTTCTACTCGAGTTGTCACACTTTTAAGAATGGACAAGAGGCGATTGGCGGTGCATCATTCGATGTTCCCGCTATTCAACAAAACCTAAAAGTCGAATACCTACCGACGATCGATCACCCTGTATACAGTTAACCGTTTCTGTGTAATCATTGCCGATATTTTGTACGCGAGATAACGCTATTTTTTTTATTTTTCAGGAACACTTCAAAATTCACCGTGTTCTTCCAGTTTCCACACGGGTATCGGAAGAAACTTAAACACCGGTTCGCGGGCTCGTTTTGAAGAAACCACATATTGTTTTCAAATTTCTTCGATTTAATTTTAATCATATAGTTTTCTTTTTTTTATTTTATTTTTTTTTTTTTTTTTTGGTCACCGACCTGTCGTATAATAAGTCGTTGCTGAGAGCAACACTCCGCCTATCCGAAAAAAAACAAAAAAAAAAAAACCGCCTGCACCGATCTCAGAGTTGACACGCGCATAAGTTGCGCGTGCAGCGGCGGCGTCAATTGCACCGACGGATGCGCGAGCGTTTATATCGACCGAACGACCGACCGTAATGGTATTACGCCAGATGTCCGGTATACACCCTCCCGTACGCACTGAAGACGGTTCGTCTACACCGTCACGGCGGTTGCCGCGTGCAAATTAATTATACGGGTATCACTTCTTGTAAACCTACGCCCGAAACGGCCCCTGCCCGTAACCAGTTATCGTTTACGCAAACAGTCAAATTCGTTTTTTCGTCACTTAAAATATTACATTCGTATATAAGTACTTATGCAATATTATACAATGCGCTCAATTCGTTTATCGTCGATCTTATATTATCACCGTATATTAACTCATCTTGTATTATCGATTTATATTATGTTTTATTTTGACCGCTATAATGATTATCATAATTTTTGAGATATTCGTTTTATACCCGACGAACGGGTTTCCGAAATTCTATGGGTTTTTTTTTTTTTTTTTTTTTTTTTTTGAAAAATCGTATCACATTATGGGCAATAATTTGTTGTTTTTTATTTATATACTTATTATTAGTTTACTATTTTTCGTATCTTTGTTACGTACACTGAACTGTACTTATGTTAGTTTGGGTAATTATTATTATTTTTTTTTTTTTTTTTTTTTTTTTTTTATCATTATTGTCATTTAACGTTTATTGTTTACGTTTTAATCACTGAGCAATATCGTGAATATACTATACCGAGAGTTCAAAATAGTTCTTTACGAAAATAAATAAAACCAAATTAATATTCTGTTATTTGTGTTGTAAAAAAAAAAAAAAAAAAAAAAAAAAAAAAATTGTATGTGAATTATTTATAAATCATTTGTACTTTACCTATTTGTGTGTCTCTGTGTAAACCTGTTTTTTTTTTTTTTTAAATTAATTATTCTGTTAATATTATTTTTGTACATACATAATACGGTTTTTGTAATTATTATTATTGGCGTTTCGTGTTTGCAAATAAATCTATATTTTTTTATACTTAAAAAAAAAATACGTGTTTTTTTTCCAGCCCACGATTATCGACAACCGACTTCTGGCCACGTATGTTTAAACACAACTTAATTATTATATTCGCGTTCGTCGACTAAAATTTTGCAAAAAATAAAAATTAGCAGAAAATATCGGTATACTTGGTAAGTAATTATAATGAATTTATAAGGTCCGGTTTTAAATGACCTAAAAACTATAAGAGGAAAAAAAATATCATTCCACCACAATATCGCCTTTGAAAAATAAAAAAAAAACGAAAAAAAATACAAAACAGACGTTTTGCGCCAATCAAATCGATATCTCTTTTATACGAATCGAATGATGTAGGATTTGGAACGCAATTTCCTAGTGCATCAAAAAAAAAAAAAAAAAAAAAATGCCCGTGAACACCAGAACTGATAAAGTTTGATACTGTCCGATACTGATTGATACAGTCGAATTATGAACCCCACCCCCACTATTTTATGTTAAATAAATATTTTTTTAAAGCAATAATAATATCCGCGAACACTGTATTAATACAATCCTATTGCCATACTTGTTCAAAAAAAAATAAAAAATTATAAAAATTAGTGTTAGTAATTCAAACCCCCTGTCGTAGACACATTCTCTACCTCTAAAATGTTATCCCTCTAGCTGTTTTTAGAGAGGTCTTTAGGAGTGTTCATAGTCAAAACCAACCAATCCCGCAGCAATGTGCTGAAGTTATTCTTTCGGATTGAAATTCAATCCGCCAATAAAACAACTCTAATAAGCCGAGTTTGTGCTCAATTGGGTCAGTAGCGAGCCGCTCTAAGTGTCCGAAAGTAGCGGGAATCTAAGGTCTAACTCCGGAATTAAATAAGGGAGGGTGCTAAAAAAAAATATAATTTTCATAAACAAATATATAGCACGAATACTCGGCGCGTGGTGCAATAATATTACGGTCTCTATTTTCGGGTAAAATTCAACAATGTGGGGTGAAAATCCACTTTGCCTCGAAATCCGGGCTCGCGTTATAATAACGCGAACAGCGACGGATATAAATTCACCGAGACTTGCGCCCGCGAATTCCGGCGACCCCGCAGCCGCCGCCGTCAAATCGATACGGCCATGGCTCCGGTCCGGATGCGCTTCGGCGAAGTAGTGGCGGCGCCGGCAACGGTGGCGGTCCAGGGGTAGCCAAAATCAAAAGTAAAAAATAGACGACTCGCGTTCGTCCGTGGCAATGCAGCGTGGTAATAACCACGCGGTCAGGTTCGGGAGGTATTTCCAGCGACGCCGTGTGCCTTATTCCGTAACGGTCGTTGTAATTACCTCGGTAATATTCGGTAACCAAACGCGTGCCGGGAAATTTACTGCATTTATCGTATTTTCTATCGTTCGGGTTACTGCAATACGGTCGGGTGATTTTTTTTTTTTTTTTTTTTTTCCACTCATTTTAAACGATATTTGCGGACGTATAATCGTGCCCGCGACTGTTTTCGGGAAGAATACCCGGTGGTTAGCCCGTCGCCGATATCCGACGGTTCGGTCGGTTTAATCCGTCCACAAAAAAACCTATTTGACCGCGAGATTTCGTCACTTTAACACCGCCGGACACTGCTAAGACTTCGGGCACCGCTACCGCTTACCTCCCGGGAAGGACTTAATCGGGCGTCCGCGGTCTGTGTATGGTTTCGCCGGTTGTACACCGCATATAACAAGTATTGTTAGCGCAGTTTTTCCGACTCTCGTATTATTTAATTATTTATTGTTCGTTTTTTTTTTTCCACGCATTTTAAACGATATTTGCGGACGTATAATCGTGCCCGCGACTGTTTTCGGGAACACCGCGGCGTCGCGGGGCGAAAGTAAATATCCGTATTTCTGACGGAACCTGCAATGTAACCGTCATCATGTTTGGACCCTAAACTCGATACCCGAATTCGGCACCCCGTAAACTAGCGGCGCTTTGGCGTAGTTTCTCCCCTTTACTTCCGCCCCCTTTAGTTCAATCCCGGGCGAAATCTCGACCTACATATACGAGCTACGAGCACACACACGGTTTTGGAAAAAGTATCGCTATATGTAGTGTAGTCTGTCCGACTTCTTACTCTACTATTATATCGGTATAAAAACGAAAACTAGACAAATCGAATTAAATTTCGAAATAACTTTTATATAACTTTGCCGGGAGTTCTTGCGAAAATTGTATTAATAAGTTTTCCGCCCCCCCCCTCACCCCGTATAATACGCGCTATCTATATATGAAACTTTTCAGCGTGATTTTGTAAACGAGTTTCACGCGGTGCATACCGCAGTTGTTTCGGTACCTATACTTACGCGAAACAACATAAATTTCGTCAGAAAACAACGCGGTCCACTCCGAATGGTAAACATAATGGTATAGAGAATCCTGTTTCCCTCACCGAGTATTGACCGTCGACAATTATTTACAAATGGCATACTACGAAAAAATCCATTTCGTTCAGTTTTCACCGCGCACGTAAAACGTCCCGACTTACGTTCGTTTTCGATCCCCGGGGTGTTTCTAAGAAAAATATCAAAAAATAACGATACACGCATTCGACTAATTTACCAAACTTCAATCA